GCCAGGAGTAGGAAAAACAGATGTTTCAGGAAGAAGGAGCTGTATCAGGGGCTGGCAGTGAAGCAGTGCAGAGAGAAGCATGTAATTCCCTAAGGCCAAGGATAGGGCCAGAAGTGACAGAGAATAAACAGAGGCTATATCTAGGTCCCATGCCATGGGAAGGAGTTTGTACTGTACTCTGAACATTCTGTGGGGCTCTTGCAAGCTTTCTTTCTCTTTAAAAGAATATGTATATATATACACACACAAACATATATGAATATATCTACATATTTATAATATATATTTTTTTTATTTTAATAGTTTCCCAGTGCAGATCGGCTCAGTTTTAGTTTAAACTATATTGCTGAAAATGAGAGAAAGAGACAGAAATAAGTTCTGTCAAAGATTCACAGTGTATATCAAAATATACATTTATATGTATTATATATATTTTCTCATTTCAGTGGCTTTTGGGGGAAAAGTGGTTTTTTGGTACATGGATGAATTGTACAGTGGGGAAGTCTGAGATTTTAGTGTGTCCCTCACCCAAGCAGTGTACATTGGACCCAGTATGTAGCTTTTTTTAAGCCCTCCCTCCCTACCCAGCCACCCCCGCTTCTGTCTCCAAAGTCCATTGTATCACTCTGTATGCCTTTGCACACCCATAGCTTAACTTCCACCTACAAGTGAGAACATGATGGTATTTGGTCTTCCATTCCGAAGTTACTTCACTTAGAATAAGGGCCTCTGGCTCCATCCAAGTTGCTGCAGAATATATTATTTTGTTCTTTTTTATGGCTGAGCAGTATTCCGTGATAGATATAGACCGTATTTTCTTTATCCACTCCTGGGCATTTAGGTTGGTTCTGCATCTTTGCAAATGTGACATGTGCTACAATAAACAGACACATGCAGTTGTCTTTTTGATATATTGAATTCTTTTCCTTGGAGTAGACACTGAGTAGTGGGATTGCTGGATCAAATGGTAGATCTACTTTGAATTCTTTAAGAAATCCCCATACTGTTTCACGTAGAGATTGTACTTATTCTGATCAGCAGTATATAAGCGTTCCCCTTTCACCACATCCATGCCAGTATTTTTTTTTTTTTACAGGAGTAAGGTGGTATCTCATAGTTCTGAGTTGCACTTCCCTGATGATGAGTGATATTGGGCATTTTTTCATATGTGTTGGCCATTTGTATTTCTTTTGAAAAATGTCTGTTCATGTCATTTGCCTAGTTTTTGATGGGATTATTTGTTTTTTTTTCTTGCTGTTTTATTTGAGTACCTTGTAAATTCTGAACACTTGTCTTTTGTTGGATGCATGTTTCTTGCAAGCTTTCCAATAGGGCAGGGGACTCAGAACACATGGCTTTGTCTCAGTTTCTCCACCATCTTGCTCTTTCCTACCTCAGGGCCATGCTCGTGTTAATCCTCTGCCTGAAAAGCCCTTTCTCCTCTTCCTGGTTGGCTTATTTATATCTTTCAGTTATCGGCTCTTAAACAAGACCTGCCCTGAACACCCTTTCTAAAGCACTTGCTATTTGTCTCCTTCATATCATTTATACCATTCATAATTTTTTACTTTTTTTGAGATGGAGTCTCGCTCTAGCTGGAGTGCCATGGCACAATCTCGGCTCACTGCAACCTCTGCCTCCTGGGTTCAAGTGATTCTTCTGCCTTAGCCTCCCAAGTAGCTGGGATTACAGGCACGCACCACAGCGCCCAGCTACTTTTTGTATTTTTAGTAGAGGTGAGGTTTCACCATGTTGGCCAGGCTGGTATCGAACTCCTGACCTCAAATGATCTGCCCACCTCAGCCTCCCAAAATACTAGGATTACAGGTGTAAGCCACCATGTCCAGCCTCCATTTATAATTTTTAAAGTAATTTTTAACATGTTTTTAGCTGTCTCTGTAAACTCCCTGAAGGTGGGGACTGTATCTTGAGCCGTAGCATGATGTGTGGCACATAGTAGGTACTCAGTAAATGTCAGTAAATATTTATTGAATAAATGAGTAACTCATCAGATTTGCCTGTCAGTGAGACAGCCCTGGCCAAAGAGTAGAGAGGGGATTGGAGAGGAAGTCAACAGACATGATAGAGAACACAGTTAGGAGGCCTTCCCACCATGCTGATGAAGCGGGAAGGCCCCGAGCCACAGTTGCAGGAGGGAATGGAGACATACATAGGGTCAGGAATCACAGAAGCACTGGGGACTGGTTGGATGTGGGTGTCTATCAGAGGTAGGAGTCAGAGATGATGCCAAAAAACTAGATGAATAGCAGATGGTTCATTGAAATACAGAATTCAAAAGAGTAAGAATGGGTCTTGGGTACAGTAGAAAATGGATTCAGCTTTGGGCATGTTGGGTCTAAGAATACCTGTGGGCTATCTGGGTAGAATGCCCAACTTAGATACTTAGATTTATGGTTTTGGAACCCAGGGGATTGATCTCAGTAAAAGATAAAGAGTTGAGAGTCGTCGGCCTGTAGATTCAGTCATCTACTCATTCAACAAATATTCACTTACTAAACTAACCTGCTTTGTCTCAGGCATTTAATATAGAGTGGTAAACAAAAACACTTAGTTTTCACAAATATCACAGTCTGGACTGCTAGTTGATGACATGGAGGTAGATAAAATAACTTAGGAAGGAGATACAGACACCTCCTCCACACATACAGGGAGAGATGAGCACAGACCTTAGAGAACACCAGCATTTACGAGGTGGACACAAGAAAAGGGGCAACTGGGAGAGGGTGATAATTTGAATGAATGAATGCAAGGTTCTCCCCAGTTCCCAAGTCCTTGCACCAAACTCAACCTTAGCCTTTAAAATATATCACTTGTTTTTTTGGTGGCAGGATTAAAGTGCATGTGTTTCCATTCACCCTATGCAGAGATTCATGTTAGTTCATCCTTAAAATAAGGAATTTCAAAGATTGGAACTGAAACAAGTATCAGCCTGCAAGTCAAGTAGTGAAGTTAGCGATGAGCAAGAGCTTGAGGCCAACCCAGATTTTCCTATTCCTCTATGAACTTCCTCGTTATTGTTCTGTGTGTTTTAAGTCAACCTTAATGTACCTTGTGGTTGGATTTCCTTAATGTACTTGTGATCTGTGGGATAAATGTAATGTTGATAGTCTCCCAATAAGAAAGAGATGTTGTGGTCTGTTTTGCCAAGATCTCATTAGAGAATTTTACTTATTTATTAATATTTTAACCTCTCAATTCTCTTAATCTAAAAGACAGCATCTTACGTGCTTACCAAATAAAAGCCAACTGGGTATGGGTGGTTTTGAGAGGTGAAATTTCTTGAGCACTTTTAAGGCAAAATGTTGCCATTTTATTTCAAAAAGCAGTTTACATTTATTGTGTATCCTAAAACTTAGAACTGTTTTATCTCAAATACCGTAGATTATGTGTTTGATATAAAAGTTAACTGAAATTTTTAAAAATCTCAGTAGAAATTTCTTATGCAAAAATCCAGTGTAACCCAAAAAAGACAAGTTTTTTGCAGTCCATTTTCCTCCTCCAAAACATGCAACTTTGTGTGTGTGTTTATGTGTATGACGTTTAGTAAATTTATTGGTGGATACAGGTAAACTTGCTTTCCCTTAGTAGTGTATGAAATCTAGCTTTTATCAATACAGACATTTTGCTTAAGATTGTTATATATATTCAGATTGGTTTATTTTCTTTTATTGCATTTCTTCAAAGTATGTTTCTTATGACAAAGAACAATTATTTCAAAAACCCCTTCAGCCAACAATTTCTTTGACCCAGATTGTAAAGCGGGGAAAGACTAAGCTGACGTTGGACAGATCTCTCAACTAGAATCTACCTCTGTGAGATTCATAGAATCAGAAAATTTTAGAGTCAGAGAGGGAAATGACATATAGATTATGTGTTCCTGGTCATGTATAAGTTTTATCTTTCCAAATACATCATAAAATTAAATGAGTAATTGGTGATCACCATAATACCAGGTATCATTTTTTTTTTTTTTTTTTTTTTTTTTTGAGACTGAGTCTTGCTTTGTCACCTAGGCTAGAGTGCAGTGGCACAATCTCGGCTCACTATAACCTCTGCCTCCTGGGTTCCAGCAACTCTTCTGCCTCAGCCTCCCGAGTAGCTGGGATTATAGGCACCCACAACTACACCTGGCTAATTTTTGTATTTTTAGTAGAGACAGGGTTTCACCACATTGGCCAGGCTGGTCTCAAACTCCTGACCTCGTGATCCACCCACCTTGGCCTCCCAAAGTGCTGGGATTATAGGCATGAGCCACCACACCCAGCTAATAACAGCTGTCTTAAAGGGAATTGATTGCATCCAGCAAAAATGAAGCGGAAGCAGAGTTCAAAGATTAAATAATTTTTCAACCACTGATTTATCTTTTCTCAAAACAAATCAACTGACACAAAAAATTTTTGTTTGGGTAAATAATCCAAATTTTAATTTGTGCTCAGAAGAATTTGTTTTCCTGTTTTGTGGGTTTAGGCTTGCTTTTTCTATTCTGACTTTTTAAAAATTCACCCTGTGGTACCTCTAGAAAAGAACATCTTTAAATCTTGTTTCAGCTAAATGAATAGATAACTAATCCCAATCAGATGTTTCTTTAGGGAATAATGTTTAAAAAACTAGTATGGAATGCAGCTCTCCTAGTGATTCTTAGATAGGCTGTTTTTATCCCAATTGTTAAGGTCTTAGAGGTCACCCAAGGTAACTATTTATTTTAAATTGCCTTTTGTTTCAGATTTCCTGTTGAATTTTTTTAACCATTTCAAAAATCAGCCAGTTGTTGTGTCATAGCTTTGCACAACCTTCAGATTCAAACCAAAAATATGTCTGCATAGCTGAATGACTGTGCCCTCCCACATCAACCCTAAGGAGAGCAGAAAATGAGATTAGACACCACATGTTTTAATCATAATGAAACTAAGATTTAAAGCTCTGTGGTCAGATGTCTTATATTTATGACACTTTGTTTTCTTTTGTTTTTGTTTCCTCAGGACATTTGGGCTTCCAGGACAGTTTTGTCACATCAGGTGTTTTTAGTGTGACTGAGCTAGTAAGAGTGTCACAGAGTAAGTATACTTTTGCTTTGATTTGGTACAAATCTGCCTTGGTTTGTGCTTGCTTTCTGCCTAGGACTCCTAGAGACAAAAAAAATAAGCTTTCAGAATCTTCTTTTCATTCACCCATTGGAGGAATTTTGCCACACAGTTTGTTTGACAACCAAGAATTTAAATCAGGAAAAATTAAATATTACTTTGATGTGAGGCATAAGAGAAAGACCAAAATCCTGACGGTCTCATATATTCTAAGGCTTCCCTGATTTCTGAGAAATTCTGCATTTTAAAAGAATTTGTTTTTGACCTTTAAAAAATGCTAATGCTGTTAGTATGAGTGACACAGGCTGGGCTGATCATTACCAGCTTGTCATTAATCACTAACAGTGAATGAAGAGTACCTGTCACCATCTTGCTCCATTGATCAAAGGCCCAGTCAATTGACTGTAGTTTTTTTATGACATAAGCTAGCATGCATGCACATGTGCACACACACACACACACACACACACACACATACACACACAGTTGCCTTCCCTTAAGAATCTCTCTTCATTCTTATTTAAAAGCATACCTGCAGTGATTATGATGTTTCAGGTCCCAGTAAGAAGAAGGAAAAATAAATACCAAATATTAAAATGTTATTTTGTTTTACCACTCCACCTAATTCAAAATACCACTTGTAGGTAAAATTTACATTGTTAAAATTGGTTTTAAGCAGCATCAGCCCTTTGTGGAATGAGCTGGAGTAAAAATAAATATTTTCATTTCAAGTTCATACCCCCCATTCACTGTGTTACAGGCTTATAAGATTGACTGAATAAGCCGGCCCATCTCAGGACACGATGTCAGGTCGTGCAAGTCAAGCCGTCCTGGTCTCAAAAGCCTGGATTCTGTCTGTTCTTATTTCAGTAGGCACTGTCCTAGGCCTACATAAATTAATCCTTACAATATGCTTTCAGACCAGAAATTACCCCCATTTTTAAAGATGAGTTAAATTGAGGATCTATGTAAGTTATTTATCCAAAGTCAAATAGTGAGGCCAGGCATGGTGGCTCATGCCTGCAATCCCAGTACTTTGGGAGGCCAAGGCAGGTGAATCACTTGAGTTGAGGAGTTTGAGACCAGCCTGGCCAACATAGTGAAACCCTATCTCTACTAAAAATACAAAAAAAAATTTAGCTAGGCATAGTGTTGCATGCCTATAGTCCCAGCTACTCAGAAGGCTGAGGCAGGAGAATTGCTTGAACCTGAGAGGCAGAGGTTGCAGTAAATCGAGATCGCACCACTGCACTCCAGCCTGGGCAAGAAGGCGAAACTCTGTCTCAAAAAACAAACAAACAAAAAATTCAAACAGTGGATAAATCATTAAGCTAAGTCTCCTTAAGGCCAGAATCCATACTCTTAGACTGGCCCAAAGGAACTTGAAGAGCTCTATAGCATGAGACTAGAGAGGGAAACAGTGGGAAGGTAACTAGCGGTGTTAGCATCATAGGAGTCGGGGACTCCCAGGTTGATGCTGAGGCATTCCAGTGTGGAAGAGTTGGAACGCTAAGGAGTCATGACTTGGAATGGGGAGGTTGCTGGCATGGTACTGAAGTGTACTTAGTACCAACCAGTTCTGTAGAGACTTGTTAAGCTGGAGAGGACATGCTGCCCTGGTTATAGCTCAGCTGATTAGGCGGTTATTTGCCATAGACAAACAACAGTGCATCTGTATATAGCTTTCTTTTTTACTTCTTCAGACTTCTGAACACAATAAATATCTCACATTTTTCTTGTAATTTTAATAAGTACAGTAATATAGGGAGTATATATATCAGACTATAACTGTCATAGTAGCATTATAGGGAAATACATTCATTGAGCCCTTACTGGGATATAAAACATAGCCTTAAAGAGTGAAAAGAAAATCCTTTTAACCATAAGGTTGGAGCACTAGCCATTTTATTCTGCCCTGGCTGCTGCAAATCTTACACTTAGTCTTCATTGCCGTCAGTGTTTCTAGGCCTGGGGGTTGTATGAGAAAGGCCCACACAGCACAGAATCACCCCCAGCCTCTCCGCCTCCTTCCACTCCCTGTCTTTCCTTTTAAGGTGTTATATCCCAAAGCTTATCAGTTCCAAGTTCGATTAGACCTCTGGTCAGTCTAAGATAACTTGGCTGCCAAATGAATTCTAAACCCGCCTTCAAGACTGCCAGAGAGGATGGCTGGACAGGGATTGAATTTGCAGAGGGACCTGGACTTGTTTCCTGTCCCTGCTTAGGGGGTTGCCTAGCCAGTGCCTGGCATCATGAACATCCTTTGGCTCTCAAATGCTTTTTGATTCTGCACACTGCTGTGTAATCGCTCTGGGACTCACTCACACATGGCCTCATGCTGACGGAAACTGTTTGGCAAGAGTGGGTCTGGGCTGTGTCAGCTCAATCATGGCTTCAGGCCAAACTAGTCGACTGTAGTCGGGAGACCCCTTTTTCTTAAACATAATATAGGTTTGTCAGGGTATATTTCACAAGATTGCCTTGGCTGCTAGGGTAAGGATCCCCAGCTCAGGTTTCCTCACCCACACACCCTCCTGAAAGGCTTAACACTCAAGCCGCATGCTGGAGCTGAAATCCCTCACTGTTGCCTTGCCAGGCTGCCCCCGCCCCCCGACTTGTTCCCCCATGTGGGAAGAGAGAGGCATCCATTTCAGAACTGCAGTGGATGCTTTTTGCAGATGAGTGGGCCTGGGGTGCATTCTGTATCCTCGAACAGAAATAAGCTAACTGGCACATAAGGTGATTCAGCATATGATGTTAGCCCCATTAGAAGTGTGATGTCATAGAATAGAAAAAATTAGAGTAGCTAGCATTTATCAAGCACATACCATGTACCAGGTATTGTGCTGGGTACTTTGTAAACATTATTTCATTCCATCCTCCCATGGTCAGTGTTAGCGTCCCTTTTTATAGATGATGGAGTTCCTGATGCTCCAAGAAGTTAAGCAACTTGCTCTTTTCCCTTTGTTGTACTCAGCTAGCTGACTGCAGACCTTTTCATGCAGGCCTCTCCTATAATTGTGTTATAGAACTAAATAGAATTCGAGGATTCTGTGCTTTTATTGAATAATCAGTTCTTGTTGAGTTGATATACTTTTAACTTATTAATTTGTGCATTAAAAAAAGGTTAAAGCTATTTTCTTGTAAACCAAAGTGAGTAAGATATTTAATGGAATTTTTTTTTTCTGGATTTGTTTTCAGGTGTGAGTTTGTTTTTAATTAACAGACGATTCCGTTTTAGGGCTGTTTTTTAGGTTTACAATTTTAGGTTAACAGAAAGTACAGAAGTCCCATACACCCCTCCTCCCAAACAGTTTCCCCTCTTGTTAACATCGTTCGTGTGTGTGGTATATTTGTTATAATTCATGAGCCAATATTGATGCATAATTATGCATTGAAGTCCACAGATTACATCAGGGCTCACTCTTATACATTCTATAGGTTTTGAGAAATGCAAAGGGATAGGTATCTACGATTATAGTACCATACAGAATAGTTTTACTGCCCTAAATTTCTCCCATTCTGCACCTAGTCATTCGCTGCCACTCCCCGCCACTGATATTTTTACTCTCTCCATAATTATGCCTTTCACTTAAATGTTTTTAATCGTGTCAATATCCTAGAATCTCTGACTGTTTTGCAGATTTCTTCTTAACCTCCTCTTATTTATCCTAACCCCACCCAGACCCCCCACAATCATACCTAATTATGATGATTTATATGGGCTGGAAATTTCAGTCATCATTAATGATTGCTTAGCTTGAGATTTTTCTCTCTTTCTGGATCTTTAGTATTTGATTTTTAAATTTGCTAATAGAAATACTTACTTTGACTAGGTTTCCAGTTTTTGTTTTTCATTTTCTCCCTTTTAAATGTAAGAGAGGAGGGAGGTGCTATTTCAGTATTTCCTCATGAGGATTCACTGAAATAACTATGTGCAGTGTGTTGTTTTTAATAGTGTTACTACCGAGGTGGCAATGGCAGAGAAACTCAAGAGAAAGCTGCTGGCTCAGCCTCACAAATTGAGAGGTGAGGGATTAGGCAACAAGGATGCTTGCCATTGAATGATACTGATCAGATATATGAAGCTGTTGGAATCAGGGACTCCTGCTGGCCAACTGAAGCTGCAGTCTTCCATGAACTCCCCCTCTCCTCCTTGCCTCCTGCCCACCACCTTTTATTTATTTATTTATTTATTTATTTATTTATTTGCATTATCATCTGACATCCATGAAAGGCAGGAATGGAAAGTTCTGTTTCCGTGGCAGCACAAGTATTATAGCATAAAAATCTATATTTGTTCTCTTGCTCCTTTTCCCCCCATGTGGTAGGACCATCTGAAAGTAGCTCAATTATTTATTGTCTTGTTCCAAGGGAGAGGAGAAATACAGACCACTAGACGCTGTGCCAGAGAGAGAGAAAGTATTCTCTGCTTTGGGGAAGGGGGTTTTACAAGCGTTAACAATGTGGTTCAGAATCACTAAAGTTGTTTTAGCATAATACTATGAGGAAAGAGACAAGAACCATCTGTTGAAATGGCTCTTACATGATGCTGCATTTTCAAACAAAGCCTTCTCGAGGCATTTTTAGATTGGTCTCTTTCCCTTGAAGTTGCTACCAAGAGAGCCCACTCTACTAGCTGCTAAATGATGCTGCTTAGATAGCTGTCTCTGTCAGCACCCACTCTTTTGTTTATTTTGCGCCAGTGTTTTCCTCAAAGTATGAGCTCTAAGACTGTCAAATCTTACTCCTGGTATGAACCCAGAAAGTTCTCCTGAAAAATCCACTACTTCTGCCCATTTCCTTCCAAATTGCTGACTCTATTTTAGTTGAAGTTGGTGGAGTGACTCCGAAACCTTAACTACTTCACTGGGAAAGAGGAAAACCGCAAATACACACAAGCCATTGTGACTCTGGCCTGGTGGGCTCTAATTTTCTAGCGGCGGTTTGTACACCCAAGCTGGCTGCAAGGG